TGAGAGAGAGAGAGAGAGAGAAAGAGAGAGAGAGAAGCGTGATGAAGACCAGATTGATATCGCATACTTGTCGCTGCAATATTATAAAATAAACCATATTGTTATTAATAAAACGCCTTTTATTGTTAATTGTTGCAATTATTATCCTTTAATTATTACCCACTTCTCCAATTACAAATGCCACAGATAATTCGAAAGAATATCGCACGGGAAATATCCGGAGGGAGATGGTTGGATAAATTGGATTGATCAAGAAACAAAGGTCATTCTTTTGTTCAACGTGTGCAATCGCATATATTTATATACGTTTAGTTTACAATATTTACATCACAGGACATTCATATTGAATGATTTTACATGACTATTGAGATTACTATGAAAGATACTTTCATTTCAAGCATTGCTACGCGACGCGAACGAAATTCCGTCGACGACGAAACGGCGATTACGTTCAGGGCACTTATTATGTAACTGTTCGCGATTCCGATCAGAATTGTTTAGACTCGCGAATTTTGAAAAAATTCTGAGCGTCATAGCGATAGAGTGGCAAATAATGTAAGTAAAAAAATGATTTTTATTTTCTAATTTTATAATAAAAAAGATAACACAAAAATATGTAAAAAAAAAATAAAATTATAACGTGTAATAATGAAATAAGATAATTATGTGTTAATCTTCATCTTAAATATAATAATTTTTACGTAAATAAATGGCAAGTTAATTTTCATCATATAATTTTGTGGAACATGCTAATAATAGTATTACTTAATACATTATTACATTAAGTAATATTATATATTATTTATTAATACATATTAATAACATAATAACTTAATCTGTAACATGCTGAAGATTAGCCTGTCATTATTTATAATATAATAAAAATGATTATATATTTAAATTAATTATACATTAAGAATTAACAAACTTTTAATAAACTTTTTCAAATAACATGTCCAAAATTGGAAATTTTTTTGATACAATTTTGGATACAATTCGAATGTCTATACAATAGATCAAGTGACGAGAAACGGAATCATTTCGAACGGAACCATTTCCAAATAGATTCATAATAGGTGTCCTACGTATCCGCCTCTCTTTTACGCCTATGTTCGCTTTAAAGGCTTCGTTAAAGCGATTCCCTCCTGGTTGCATCAGGCACCGATACGAAAGAAAGAATAGAGGGAGATGAAGGAGAAAGAACGAGTACAAAATCACAATTCACACACAACCAAGAAAGAGGTAGGCAGACAGATCGATTCAAAATTGCAGACAAAGTTACACACGCATACACACACATACATGCCC